CACTGTTCTGATTTCGTGGCAGACTTCACCCACATATAACTACAACCAGTAGGGAGATGCATGGGAGGGGAAAGAATTCATTACTCAAAGGCAGGTCAAGCTTAGGAAGAAAGTAGACAGTACAATCATTATTTTGATCATGCTGCTACTATACAGACCATTCAAATAATTGTTTTGAATCACTATTTTCAAATAGCCACCTAGAGGCAGCAAAGTCTCTTCACTAGAGAAAACATGCCCAAAATGTTTATGACGGTATTTCTCCCACAACACACATCATGATTAACAACCCCCCCACCCCTGCAAAGCCAAACCCACTGCCATCGAGTCTATTCCAACTCATAGCAATCCCACAGGACAGAGCAGAACTGCCCCATAGGGTTTACCAAGGACCAGCTGGTGGATTTGAACTGCTGACCTTTTGGTTAGTAGCCAAACTCTTAACCACTGTGCCACCAGGGCCCCTGATTAATCCCAGGTCAGATTATTGAAAATCATTCTATTCTTCTTTACCTTTACTTTGGCAAAGTGACACACTATATTCACTGGGGGAAAAAAAAAAAAAAAAAACGCTAGGAAAAAAGCAAGTAAATCTCTGGGCAGGTCAATTAGCCATTCTTCATTTCTCAAATCAGGACAAGATTTAGCCAAGGAGCCCTGGTGGCATGATGGTTAAGCACTCAGCTACGAACCAAAAGGTCTGTGGTTTGAACCCACCCAGGGGCTGCGTGGGAGAAAAGACCTGGCAATCTGCTCCTGCAAAGATTTAAAGCCTAGGAAACCCTACGGGGCAGAGTTCTACTCTGTCCTATAGGGTCCCTATGAGTTGGAATTGACTAGATGGCACACCACAACAACCCACTGGAATGTTAATTACATAATACTTGATTTAAATAAACTGCTATATAAATGCTAGTTCTGAAATATTAACAGATAATCTGAGGTAATGCCAGTTATGAGCTTCTTTACTAAATCCCCCAGCTCCTAGTTAAGCCCACAGTAGGTGTTTAACTACACTGAATTCAATATTCTGTATCAGCAATCTATTGTTGTCCACCTATACTTCAATCTCCTCGTCGGAAAAATAAAAACACCACCTAACCTACCACACAAATACACTGTCAGCATATTTAGGAATTTCTAAATCTGTTAACAGTTAACAGGTTTTTATCCGTAAGTGGTGGGATACAATGTTAACAGTTAACAGCTTTCATCCCTGAGTGGTTGGATTATAAACCCCAAAACCAAACCCATTGCATCTGAGTCAATTCCAACTCACAGTGGCCCTATAGGACAGAGTAGAACTGCCCCACAGGGTGTCCAAGACTGTAATCTTTAAGGAAGCTGACTACCACATCTTTCTCCAGAGGAGCGGCTGGTGGGTTCAAATGGCCGACCTTCAGATTATCAACCGAGTGTTTAACCACTATGCCACCAAAGCTCCTTGGTGGGATTATAGACGACTTTAATTCTTTAACTATATTTTCCTATAATTCTCAAGTTTTATATAACGCTCATGCATTAATTTTGTAACCAGAAATTTTGAACAACTTAAATAATGCACTGTCTATACATTCACAGATTTTTTTTCCATTCACATTTTTGTTCTGATGATTACAGAACCAATCTTTGAGGGTCAGCTAGAGAGCAACATACAAATCCTCAAACATATTCTAAAACCGAGGATCAAGGATCAAGTATGTTGACTCTTCCATAGAAATCCTGTATTTCAAGGTTAACAGAGTCAAAAGATTTTTTTTTTACATACAAAAATAAAAATATCCACGCTTTGGGGACCAGTTCTCTAAGTGGGAGGTCCTGACCTCTTGCAAAATTGCAGCATGGATCCTCCCAGCCCTTCACCTATTTGAGAGATTGCTTCACTTTAGATAAATAGAAGACAAGCCCTTGAGGACTCTGCTTCCTAAATTTTCTACAAATCCACAGGTTCAGCCTGGTGGTCAAGGATAAAAATGAAATCTTTTCCATAGCTGAAAACTGGTTTCCTAAAAAAGCTGATATATCCAGCTTCTACCATTTGATATTATCCATCATTTCTATCTTTTAGGGTTGCAGTAAAATAAGTTTGTAAAGTCTTTTCACCTGGCCTAACAGGTACAACCCTGCATTATAACTGTTTTTTTTTTTTTTTTTCCTTTTTATAAGGGTCTTCCACTGCATCATAAAGTCTAACCAAGGGACTGTTTCACAGCCTGTCAGAACAATAAACTATTGGATTTTTTAAAAAAAAAAATTTCTTTTCACCTAAGCAAATAAAAATGAATTTATTTATTCATACATGGAGAATCAAAACTAATAGTGTTTTCAGTGAGTTCTGCACTATCACTGAGTCAAATTTGTTAGAGGTCTAGAAAAGGAATAAATTTTTAATTTTTTGGTAACTACTGAAAACCTTACATTAAAATTTACATTAACCATATTAAAACACAGCTAACATGAGACGCGTTATATAAGAACTGCAGAAGGAAAAAGTCACTATCACTTGTAATCCACCTTACTGAACATCTACAAATAAGACAGGTATGAGTAGTTCTTAAAATATGTATATACTGGATCCCAAATATTCATTCGTGTTGCAGGTATTTCAAATAGCATACAGTTTAACAAAAAAAGTGTCACTTCCAAGAAACACTAGAATCAAAAGAGAAAGACAGTCATTTCAAATGGTCCTGCTTACTCACCATGTAACTACGACGATTTTTCATTTCTGTTATACATACAAATCTTTGATCAGCTTACGTTTCCTTTAGAAATCAAGACAGCTAATACCTAGAAACCACAAGTTTATTTCTTAAAGCCAGAAGATGAGTTATTTACAGATTACTCTAGGTCGCTGTAATGATTTAACGCAAAATTAGTTACCTCTATTTTTCAATCAACAAAATGGGAATATGCATATGAATTCTGAGAGGTAAGTTTTTCCATAGTATTTGTAAAATGGGTCTTAAACTCTAAATACGTAATTCCAGCATCATCTCAACTTTATTATCTTGCAAGAAAAAGTGCTAGAGGGCAAGTTTACCAGCACCCAAAATGGCATTGTCACAAGCCTCAACACCTCCCACAACAGCCACCATTTTGAGCAGCAGGATATAACTAACCCAGTCACAATTTTATACCAACTAAAGGAAAACGCAGGACATGAGAATAACTGTTAAACATCTCTTTCCCAAATCTTCAATTTCTGTGGCCCTATTTCTCTTGGTCAGTTATGTCAATATAAACATTTGTCTAGAGTATTTTCCAATAAGTCTTACAAATATTTTTATTAAAAACTATGCTTGTTACATTCACTTTCAAACTTTGAAAACAAATGCTGTGGTGCTTCGTAAAATGTCTAAGTTATTAAGTCCTCCTTAAAAAAACATATGGGGAAGCCTACGATTTAATCACATTGTTTTACTCAGCTTAAGGTACTAAGAATAGCTAAAAGACATTGAGTGGCCCTAGTTTATCAGTCTACATTCCTCTTCATTCTCCCATCACACCCCCTTTTGATCTTTTTATTTTTCCGATTTCATTAACTCTGCAACAAGAGCAAGTTCCCACACTTCATTCATATAAGATGCAAATAATATTTCAGCAAACACGACTAAATCTAAAAATAAAGGTAAGGCAAAAATCTTAGGAGTAAAATCAATCAGAAAATGGCAGAAAGTAACCTACGTAGTGGGGATGCAGGGGGAACAACAACGATTTCCTCTTCTAAAAGAATGATTATTATTTTGATTACTCCTTCGGTGAACCCATTGGCAGAACTGAAAAGAAAAACTGACCAACAAATAGTTCCCATTTACCTTGGTCCAAAAGCAAAAAAGGTCATCAAGTCACTACATATATCGCCATAGGGGAGAAAGCAATTCAACCTGCCAACCAATCAAATATTTCACATCCCTACAAATAATAAAAATAAAGGAGGATGCAGGCTGGTGGGGCCAGTAGTTTGTTTTAGCCATCATGAGCATTCCGTATCTCGCACTCCCGCCACCATCCCTGCTACTAAGACCCCCTGATTTTAGTTCAATTATCACAAAGCCTCGGGTTTGAAACCACCTTCGGCCTGGCTAGAAAAGCCATCCCTTTCCTCCACGCTCGCCCGGAGGAATAATGGTGGCGAAATCAGCTCAAAGAGCTCCCCAAATAAAGAAGGCAGTATTCCGAGAGGAAAGGGGCTGGAAAAGAATAACGGAGTCCCAAACTTTCCCTCCGCAGCCGCGAAGCCCAGAGCAACGGCTCAACGCCGGAGCGGCTCTTCCGAGGAGAGCGCGCCCCCCGGCCCAGGCCATCATCTCCCCCAGCCCAAAGTTAACCCAAAGCGTCCCCCGAGAGTTGCGGATCTCCGGGAGTCTGCAAAGTGCGACTCCCCCCTCAACGAGCCCGCCGAAGTGGGAGAGTCTCTCCCCAGCACAACAGACCCCTCCCCCAACCAGCGCCCGCCTCCCAGCCTGCGGTCCGAGTTAATCCACCGCCGGCGCCCCCCACCCCCTACCCCCCTCGACCGCCTGCACCCAGTCCCCGCCCGGAGCAGCTGGCTCGTAGCTTCAATGGCACCGGGAAGGGAGCGCGCGCGCGCACGCACTCACTCACCACACACTGAGCCTCTCCTTCCAGAGGAACTCCCGGGAGAGCCGCCCCCCATTCCCACTCCCACAAAAGCAGACACTCTCCCTCCTCCTTTCCGCTACTCCCTTCGCCTTCTCCTAGAAACCGCGGGTGAGCACGGTGGCCGCCGGAGAAAGTCCCAAACCCGGACACCCGCACTTGGCGTCCTTTGCAAAGCCCGGAGAGACCCGCCAGCCCTCCGCACCTCCGCACCTCGCGCCCCCCACCTCTGACCCCTTCTACCGGCTCCCGACTACAGGCAAAAGTCTCTCGCTCCCCAGTTCCCTCCTTCAGGATATTCCCGGGACTCCCCCAGCGGAGCAGAGGGAGAAAGGGGCGCAGCGTGCGCCGCCTCGCCCGCTCCTCGCGGCACTCACCTCGATCTCAAAGTCCGGCAGGCGGAACGCGGTACGAAAGAGCGAGCAGAAGTGCGCGATGGCCGGGACTTCCCACCAGGAGCGGAGCTCACCCAGCCCAGCCGCGCCGCCCTCCTCCGGGCACATCTCCCAGGCGCGGCGGTGGCGGCGGCCCCGAGCTCGAAGCGCGCCTCGGCGGCCCCACGCTGCCCGCTCGGCTCGGACTCCCGCCGCGGCGAAGCGCCTCAGCTACTCGGGCGGGGGTGGTGGTGGTGGTGGTGGCGGCGGCGGCTGCTGCTCCCGCTGCTGCCGCCGCTCGGCGTGTGCATTAGATGAGGGCGGGCGACCCAGGCGGGGGGCGTCGGCTCGAGGGCCCGAGTTACTGAGCCGGCTGCTGCTCCGGCTGCCGGCGGGGTCCGCGCGCTAACCCCATCCTGCTACTGCGGCTACGGCCGCCCCCAGTCCCATACAATATAATCATCTCACCGCTGGGGAAAACAGATGGGGCTGGGGGGGGGGGCGCTGGGGGGGGGGGCCGAACAGGGGGTCTGGGGGGGGGGCCGCACACGAGGAGGGGGCGGGGCTGTCCCTCACCACAACAACAACCCCCGCCCCCACTTTCCACCCCCAGCTTGGACAGCTGCATTGAACTAGAAGGGGGAAAGGCGGGAGGACTGAGCACCCCAAAAAAGAGGGAGAGTGTGACTTGAAGGGAGCAAGGTGCACCCCCACGAACTACTATGAGATATACTCCGCTTTCCAGGCTGTTGGAACTGAAGAATTTAGTGACTTTTACGTGGGAACATAATAAGGGTCTCTCCCACCCCCCACTTGGCCTTAGTGGTCGCGTCCTTTTAAAGGGCCCGCTGGGTGGTGCTTTCGGTAGGGGCTAAATCCAGAAACACGCACGTGTGGGAGTTCGGTTATTATTGATGCTGATGGTAGTATAGGGGAACGAGTAGGATGTCCACCTCAGAAATATGAGTCCTAGAGAAATTAAGTGGTTTCCACCTGTTCTTTAACGCTTTTATTCCCTCCAAGAATGGTGCTTCAATGAGATCTAAAGTGACTCTTTCTCCAAGGGAGGAAGGTGGTGGGGCTGGTTAAGCTGGAACTAAGTAGGATGGAGGCTGGAGTGCAGCGGGAAGGGTGGGGTAGGGGGAGGCACCAATCAGCAGCCATGCGGGAAGAGGGATTTACCCACCCCACCCCACCCCCACAGGGAATGGACACGTGTGACCGCCCTAGAGAAGACGGGCTTGGAGCACTGCTACTGCCCTTGCGGTAGAAAAACTGCCTGGAAGAGTGCGCACAATGTGGTTAGAAAGCTTGGGGGATGGGAAAAGTGCGATCGGGAGTCTGGGGAGTGTGTTCTGGCGGGGGTAGAGACTTGCACGCCTAGGCTGAGGGAATGTGATTAGGAGTAGGGTGTCGAGGCGTGGGCTATGGAAATGTTAAATACTATGGCACGTTAGAATTATGTTAAGCCTGAAAGGGAAAAAAAAATCACCTCCAAAACAAACTACAAGTTTTGAAAAACTACGTTGAATGCCCAGATATTTGTACGCACATTGGTCTTTGCAATTATTTAGAACTACATTCTACTCAACCCTCAAAGGACCTTAGCTGGGTTCTGCAGTCTTGCTCTCAGGAAACACTGCCCCTGACACTTCCCAAAATTAGTCATATACGTATTGAGTGACGGGCACGAAAACAAAGTGCACGCTGATTAAATCAAAGATCCTCTTCTACCTATGAGCAGTAGACAATCTGGAAGGCATGGCAAACAATGATGAACGAATTTATTAGATGATTTTGGAGTGGGCTGTCTGGATAATTCTCCTCTACCCCTCCCTCACTTTATTCTGATCATGTTAATAACCTGTTGTAGTTTTTATAAGGCAGCACCGAAAAACATAAGTTCTTAAACTGTATACTTATGTGTATCTTTCGTGAATCAGCTAATCTCAAAATACTTCTAGCATTGCTCTGTCTCTCTGCAGCATAGAAACAGCCCAAGAGTTCTACTCTTTCATCCTCAAATTCTACCATGTTTTAGTTTTTGACAAAAATGAGCACATATATAAATGTTCCCAAAAAGCAAAGACTACATTTTTGTGTGTTTTTAAAGCACAGCTGCACTATAGATATTCCATTAATAGATGAGGTGTGAAAAGGGTGACAGGCCACTGTGGGATTAACCTGAATTAGATGTTTTCTGAACTTTTTTCTCCTGTCTTTCTTCATTTCCTCACCGATCAGTTTCACTTGCCACACTTTTTCCTCTCCTTATTTTAGAAGTATTACTGTTTTTCTTCACATTTGTTTCTAATCCATTATATCCTGACTGTTCTTTCCCCACCTTTTTCCTGATTCTTTATCTGTCTTCTCATTCTTGCCTTTATCTTTTATCGTCGTTTAACCTCTTTACCTGGCCTCACAATTGTCCCTACTAGCCCGGCTAGTAATAACAGTGCCTAGAATGTTAATACCAGGAAGCAAAGGGTGAGAAGAAGATTTGGCTACCCGTTAATTACTCTTGTACATTTGAATGCCGGTTACAAACTTCTTTCCTCCAGCCCCCACCTCAAACTGGAGGCTACTCTATTGTTTTTTGCCCCCTCCACCCCAAGCCAAGTCCTGTAAATCAACAAGGCTGTCCTAGAACTCGAGATGCCCCCTAGTGGTGGTTAGAGATTAGTCTCCTAGTCCTTTCTCAGCACCTTTCTTTCCCTTCTGCATGACCTGCCTCCTGTGCTGCCATTTTCTTGAAGGTCCCCACCCAATGCTCATATGAACCTGCACGTCATCTTTACACCTGTTTAATTCTGTCATTCTCTAACCTTGGTCCACTCTCCGCAATGTTTTGCTTGGCTCCTCCCTATCTATCCCTGTCATCTTACTCCTCTATCCACCACTCCATTCCACTCCATCCCCAGCTCAGCCTTCACCCTGAGTCTGAAATCAGTCCTTAGCGCCAGGAGCTAAGGAGTCTAATATATCTTGAGTCTGACCATAAATTTGAACTCTAAATCCCCCGAGTTTTGGCTCTAGTTAGAACCTTCCATTTAGACCTCCACTGACTGTCTCCCATTTGGACTCCTGTTGGAATGGATACCCTGAATCACTGACCCTGCTTTGAACATTTGTTTATTATATTTCTGCCCCAGAAATATAATGAACTTAAACTCTCAGATCTATTTTTTCTGGACTCATTTCCAGCCTTATCTCCTAGAATCTAGATTAAGGACCTCTGTAACCAGTTAACCAGTGCCATCGAATCAATTCTGACTCATGGTGACCCCATGTATGTCACAGTAGAACTGTGCTCCATAGGGTTTTCAGTGGCTGATTTTTCAGAAGTAGATTGCCAGGACTTTCTTCCGAGGCACCTCTGGGTGGGCTGGAACCTCTAACCTTTGGATTAGCAGCCGAGCATGTTAACCATTTGCACTACCCAGGGACTCTGAAGAGGGCTATATGCCAGACTAATTTAAATTTTTAGAAATTGTAGAAAGGAAATCTTTGTTCTTTCTTAGAAAAGACTATTAATCACCTTATACCTCACCTGTGAGAGGAAGGTCTTGTAGTAAATGATTCCTGAGTTCTATGGTTTTCATCTTTAAAATACAACCAGATTAACTGCCATGAGATTTAAATTCAGTCATGTCGAACACTTGCTCAGAATTCAATGTCTCTCCCTTGCACTTGAAAGTCCCAACTTCTGTAATTTTTTTTTTTTACTTTTTTTTTTATATTGTGCTTTAGATGAAGGTTTATAGAGCAAATTAGTTTCTCATTAAACAATGCACATATTGTTTTGTGGCGTTGGTTGCCAACCCCATGACATGTCAACACTCTGCTTCTTGAACTTGGGTTCCCCATTACCAGCTTTCCTGTCCCCTCCTGCCTTCTTGTCCTTGTCCCTGAGTGAGTGTGCCCATCTAGTCTTTTTTTGTTTTATGGGCCTGTCTAATCTTTCGCTGAAGAGTGAACCTCAGGAGTGACTTCAGTACTGAGTTAAAAGGGTGTCCGGGGGCCATACTCTCAGGGTGCAGTAGATTCTTATTTAAAACTTGCCACAATTTGGTTTCAACTTGCCTTTCCAGTCTTATCTGCTATACCCACCCTCACCCCTGTCCCACCAAAGAGTCCTTTCCTCCTGCCATACTGATTCACTTACACACCGCCATCTCCTTGCCTCTTCCCTTCTGATCACTCAGTTGACTTATAACTCAACCTCTCTGATCACCACACACTCAAAACTCACTTCCTTTGTAAAACCAAAAAAACCAAACCCATTGCTGTAGAGCTGATTCCAACTCATAGTGACCTTATAGAACAGAGTAGAACTGCCCCATAGGGATTCCAAGGCTGTAAATATTTACAGATGCAGACCGCCACATGTATTCTTCAGAGGAATGGCTGGTGGGTTTGAACTGCCAACCTTTGGATTAGCAGCCAAGCACTTAACCACTGCGCCACCAGGGCTCCTGTCCTTTGTAAAGCTTTCCTAAAACATCTTAGCTTTAAAGGTGTCTCTCCTGGTACTCACACAAGAAATTACAGTTTGTGTGATTTGTTTAACAAGAACTTCCTTGGGTCATCTTTCTAGTATTTATTTTGAAGTGTCACTTAAATCTTTTACTGTAATTAGGGTTCTCCCTCTCTTCCCAGCCAGATTAGACTCTTTTTTGGGGGATTATTAATTATCAGTTTGATTGTATAATGATAATGTAAGTGATGACATAAAGCCATAAGAAATTCAGAACTTCTTTAAATGCCTGGATGTGTGGGTTTGCTTATTTTCCTTCATTCCTTCTTCTGCCTTTCTGCTTTCTCCCTCATGGGATTCAGTTCACTCTCCAGGCTTATAAGTCATGTCTGTGTGGGTCCAACTTCTCAGTATACATCTTTAATCTAGCCTTTCTCCTCAGCTCCACTGTCATTTCCCTGGCTGCCACTTGGATGTTTCCTTATCACCTCAAACTCAACATGTTAAAAGCGGGGGGAAAATCCCCAGCTCAGCCTTTTTCTCTCCAGCTCATACCCCCTTGCTGACTTCTTCGTTCTTGCAACAGAACAATTATATTCCCAGACTTCTGGGCTCATCTGTTAGTCTTTCCCTCTTCTCCTGGCTAATAATC